CTGCTTCATGCGATCTATTTCTTTCCTGCATTGCTCTTTCAAGGAAACCGTCATTTTTGTAATCTCCTCTATTTTATTATCAATGTGTTCTTTTGAAGCAGTTATAAATTCTTTTACTGCAGTGTTTTTTTCAGATTGGGTTTCCTCCCTGTGTTTCTGTAGTTACTTCTTTACTTCAGATGCTATGAGTTCTGACAATTCTTGTTTTATTTCAGAAAAGAATTGTGCTCTCAGTTCCTCTATAACTTTCTGCTGTTGCTTATTTACTATCAATACTATTAATTCATGCATTTGAGCCGGACTAGTGTCCTCTGTATTTGTTCTGGGTGGGCCCTGGGTTTCCTTCATATGTTTCTACCTTTGATTCTTTAATGCAGATGTTATTAATTCAGGGATTTCTTTTTTTATTTTCAATCTGAGTTCCTCTATACCTTTCTGCAGCTGTTTCTTTATTTCAGAAGCCGATGATTCATTGCTTTCAGCTGTGTGATTCCCAATTTGTTCTGTGTTAATGTCCTCTGCACTTGTTACGGGTGGGCTTGGGTTCTGAGGTTGCATTTTGTTTCTTCTCATCATTTTGTGTAGCACTGTCTTCTGACCTTTGTTGTAGATCTTTGTTGCAGTTATAACCTTAGCACATACTGAAGTTCAGGTGCAGATCTACAAAGTTTGGTTTTATCCAGTTGTGCCTGGCTTGGGTGTGGCTGCTGTTCTCAGCTCCTTCCTGCTGCTGCCCTTGGGGTGAACCTGTTGTGTTCCTCTGGCAAGATTTTCTGCTCCTGGACTAGCTGGGTGGTTCTGTCCTCTATATTCTCTGCAGGGATTGTAGCTGAGGGTTTCACCCCAGGCCTGTATGCCAGGCCTGAGCTGAGCCTGAAGGGAACAAGGTGGAGTAGGGGGGAGAGGTGGCACTTCCACACACTCACTGTGCCTGGACTAGTACTGGATCTGGGTGTTCACGGAATGTGGCAGTAATTCCTACCCTGTGTCTGGGGGGTATGTGGGTACTATGGGTTGATGGGGGGGTGTCCCAAGCGTGTGGAAGAGGGTTTCACTCTCCCTGCACCTGGGCTGGAACCAGTAGTATGTCCCGCTGGCACAGGGTAGCCAGAAGCTCTCCCACACACTTACCGGGCCTGGGCTAGAACTGGGTCTGGGGGTTCCTGGCACGTTGTGGAAATTCCTACTTGGTGGGTAGGTGGGTGAGGTGCTGTGGAGTGGTGGTGGGGTGTCCCAAGGGGGTGGAAGAGGGTTTCACCCACTCTGTGCCTGGACTGGGACCAGTAGTAGGTCCTGCTGGAGCTGGGTAGCCGGAAGCTCTCCCACACACTCACTGGGCCTGGGCTAGGACTTGGTCTGGTCTCTGACCTATTAAAATTGTATGTTTGGTGATCACTCCTAAGACTAAAGATTCCCAGAATAGAGAATTACTCATTTGGTCAAAGACAGGGACTGAAGACAAATTGTGGGTTTTTGTGAAGTACTGGTCAAGTACTAAGGTTGTAACTGGATTTTAATCCTTTTTTGCAGAGCGTTTTCTAGATTTCTGTCCCTTATTTAGTTTTTTTTTTTTTGTAAAATTATAATGCTATGAAGTAACAGTGATCATAGGTATTTAAAAAGTATTCTACAATGTAATTTAAATTGCTATGTCTTTTAATCACAGTGTGTTCAACGAAGCAGAATTTTGACTAAGAAATTTTTATCTGATGGCAAGGAAAGTGTCGCTTTGTATGATTATAGCACTTTTCAGGTATGTATGATTTTTGTTTTGAATGGTAGTTTGGTTTCTCCATTTCAGAAATTTTTTCTAGAAATTCCAAAAATTACTACGTGATACTTACTTAATTGGGGAAATGGCTTAGATCAGCTAATATATTTTTATAAAGCACATTTTTTTTCCTCTAAATGCTCTCTTTATGACACTCAGAAAACATTATTCATTAATCAACAGGAAAATATCCTCTGCTTTTCTAAAAATTTTCCAACTTTTTTGCTCATTCTTGCCTAGGAATGATTAAATGGTTAATGAAACATTTTTATAAGCCTTTTGAAGAACATGGGAGTGCTGATTGTGGCCATACCGTGGAATAAAACTGATTTCCCTGAGTTGGGTGACTGGTTGCGCACTGACTTATGATCTCAGTGTCCCAAAAGCGGATCAAAGCTCATCAAGTCATAGGCATTGCTAAGAGAAAGGAAGTTGTGATTGAAGGAAGAGTCATGACACTTGTGTAACTGTGGTACTAAGGTCCCAGGCGTTATAGGTGACAGGAAATCATTTTGATCTTCTTGCATTAGTGCTTGATGATAGCTTGAGGTGAACAATGTTAGTGGGGAGAGTTAGGGCCCTTTTTCATTTAGCTAGTTAAGTTATGTATGTTTCTGTATGTTCTCCCACATTTGCCCATGCAGAGGGGGATCTGTACAATTTTTTTTTTTTTTTTGGATACAGCTGGTAGTATTTTCTTGTGATTGCTTTCTGCCTTCTCTGTAGCACTTATCAAATACTTGCCCTTATGTGTATTTGATCGTTTTCTTCGTCACTCACCTGATGACATATATTCATTCATATTTACTGTTTTACCTACAGAACTTAGCGCAGTGACTGTCACAATAATTTTAACTAAGAAGTGACATTTTTAGATTGGAAATCCATTTGCACTTAGATTGTAGTAGAACAGCTTGCACTTATCACATATTCTTAGTTTTAGTAGCTGCTGTTTCCACTCTTTTGCTGTAGTGTTACAACACAGGCATGGTTATGTCAGTTGTGTCTCAGCAAACTTAATCATCCCTCCTTCAAACAAAATGAAAACAGAGTGCCTAATGCAAACTCATTCTCTGACCTCAATTGTATTTTGTTTTCTTCCACTTCTGTATAAGCTCCATGTACCCTATAGTTTATACCTTGCCTATATCAGAGTCTTTGTGGACTAAGATTGCTGTCACTACGGCATTTCTCAGTGCTTGTTGAGACTGTCCCCTGGCTTGGTTTGTTCTCAACACCTCAGTCTGTGGAAAGGCTGCTGCCATTTTTGCAGTCATTCCATAGTTGTTTTGGCTTTAAGATACATATTTATTGTGGTTTGTACTACTACAGTGTGTGAGGCCATGGAACCTAGCCCTTTGTACTTTCATACAAAGCCTCTTCATAAACACCTGTGCCACTTCTGTTAACAGGGAAGCTTTGCTTTATAGCACTGTGCATATTGCAGGTGCTTTATGTTTGTTCTCTGAACTTTAAGAATAGGAATATTTTCATTATTATACACTTTGCAAAATTAATTGGTAGATTTCAGGTTCTGCTTTTCTCTATGAAAGCTAGTGATTTCAAAATCACTAAGAAACTATATTTTAATTATTCCTTCTCTATTACACTAATTTACCTAAGCTGTTATTGTTAATAAATTGTCACGTATATTTTAGTTTGCCGAGTAGTGCTCTGCTTAATGTATATTTCTCATTATTTTGTAGTCTTTGTTGCCAAGAAGATGTGTATCATTTGAAAATATACAACATTTCAGTTATCAACATTCCAGACAACTGAAGGTATTAGAACGTTTCCGTTTTTACTGTCCAAAAAAGTTATATTTCTAACAATAATAATCACTTTATGCTTTATTTCTTAAACAAAAAAATCATTTATTTATTTATTTGGTACAGGGTTTCCCTATGTATTTCAGACTCATAGTAATCCTCCTGTTTCAGTTTCCCCAGCACTGGGATTACAGGTTTGCGCCGCCACACCCGGTTTTGTTGGTTGGCACAGCATGTGGTACCAGGGATTGAACCTGGGTCCTTGTACTTTCCAGACAGGCACTTATACCACTGAGATATCTTCCCAGGCTTATTTATTTATTTTTAAGACAAAGTCTTGATGTGTAGCTCAGGCTGGTCATAAACTCATGGCAATTCTCTTGCCTCAGCCTCCTAAGTGCTGAATTACAGGCATGTGCTACTGAACCCAGTAATTTATGCTTTTTTTTAAAAAAAAAAAAAACACATACAAATATATCCTATACTTTATTCCTAATTATAATTACCTTTTCAGGTAAACATAGTTTCAAGAGTGGAGGTGTATAGTAAGTCAAGGACAGTCAATATCTCTATTGTACTTTAGAACATCTTAAGTACGCAACTAACTTACATGAAATCACTGTTTGGAATTTGAGTCAGGCAGGGAATAATAAAAGCAATAGAAAGCATTTATCATTTGTTATTAATATGAAAGTTTTTAAAATTATGTATACTTGTTACCACTTATTTGTAATTATGAATACTATAATATTAAGTAATATGATTAAATATTAGGCTAATTCTATAATTATTAGATGAAATGAATAGAAATATGTTACTATTGCTTTTTTTTTTTTTGGCGGAACTGGGGATTGAACTTAGGTCTTGTGCTTGCCAGGCAAGCACTTATTCTACTGAGCCATCTCCTGGGCCCCATATTTAATCTTATAATATTGTATTTAAAGTGATGTAGAGCATATGTGAATAATTTTATATAGTAATTTAATGCTAAATGCTTTGCAAAATATATTCAAACTAATTTGATTTTTTAAGCAGTTGGATGTTTGTTTTTATTAAGTTTATTGATACAATTTAAATATAAATGGTGATCATAGGGAATTTGTATTGGTGCATTATACATCTTGATTCCTCTTCTTTTCCCAATCCCCTCCCCCTCTTCAGTTCCTCTTCCCCTTATTTACAAAGCTTTGTTTCCATTTTATCCTTCTTATATCATTTTCTTTTTTCCCTTCATTCCTCCTCCCGACCTTGGTTCCTTTTTCCTTTGCAACAGTGTCTTCCTATTTTACTGAAGACATTGCTCATTTTGGTCCTTATTTACTCTTTAAGATTCTCATATGAGGGAGAAAATGTGATATTTACACATGCATCCTATTTATTTCATTTCAGAGTATGGCTTCAAGGTATCTTCATTTACTTAGAAGTGTCTCATTTATCCTATTTTTTGGCTGAGCATACAGTACAAAGTTGTTCCATTATATTAAAAATACTTTTTTAATCCATTCTTCAGCTGAAGGACATTTGGGTTGTTTCCCAGAGTTAACTATTACAAACTGTGTAGCTATAAACATGGGTGCACATATATCACTGTGGTGTGATATTTTTAATTATTCTAGAATGATACCCAGAAGGTGAATAGCTGGATGAAATGGGATGTTCACTCCTAATTTTTTGAGGAATCACCGCACTGATTTCCATAGTGGTTGTACCAGTCTTCCACAACACATCCAACATTGTTATTGCTTTTTTTTTCCCGCAGAACCAGGGATTGAACTCAGGCCCTTGCACTTGCCAGGGAAGTGCTTATTCTACTGAGCCATCTCCCTGGCCCCTTTATTTTTGATGGTAGCCATTCTTTGTGGACTGAGAATGGAATCTCAGTATTGTTCTAATTTTCATCTCTTGAATAACCAGTGATATTGAACATATTTTCATGTATTTATTTGCTGTTTACTTTTTGATAGTTGAGAAGTGTATATTCATCTCAGATGCACACTTTTGGATCTTTGAAAATGGGAGGTCTAATATTTTTGAATTCTTGATATGTTCTAGATTTTAGTATTTTATTTAAGGGAAAACTGGCTAAATGTTTTCCACTCAGTGGTTTGTTTTACTTTCTTTAGATTTCTTTTGCTGTGCAGATGTTTTTCTTTTAATAGATTGAGATTCCAGTTTTTGATTCTTCATAGTATTTTCTGTGTGATCAGTGTTTGGTTCATGAAATCTTTCCTTATACCTATGTTTTCAAGAGTTCTACCTATTCTCTCTTTCAGCAGGTTTAGTGTTTCTATTTTAATATTTATGTCTTTGATCTATTGTCATTTTAATTTAGTGCATGGTTATAGACATGGGTCTAGTTTTAATAGTTAGCATGAGGAGAGCCAATTGGAGACTCTCTTCTGGTGAACATGTTTGGCCTCTTTGTCAAAGATCAGGTGATTGAGTATATTTGGAATTGTTTTTGTATTTTGTAATCTGTTCCACTGAGCCTCAAAGTTGTTCTTCTGTTTTTGTTTTCTTGCCAGTACTGTTCTGTTTTTATCATAATAGCTTTGTAGTATAATTTTAGGCCAGTTATTGTGATGCCCCCTTTCTTGCACTTGTTGCCAGAATTGCTTTTGCTATTCTAAGTCTCTTCTGGTACTAAATGAATTTTAGGAATGCTTTCTCTATTTCTGTGAGGTATGTTGATGGTATTTTTGATTGGGATTACATTAAATCTGTAAAAAATTTTAGAGATTATAGGCATTTTCACAGTGCTGGTTACTCCTACCCATGAACAAAAAATGCTTTTTATGCATCTATTGAGATGATCATGTGGTTTTTGTCTGGTTCTGTTGTTATTATATATTACCTTCATTGATTTGTATATGTTGAACCATCCCTGCATCTCTGGGATGAATTTTCCTTGGCCATGGTATATAATCTTGATGATTTACTGTATTCTCTTTGCCCGTATCTTACTGAGGATTTTTGCATCTGTGTTCATTAAGGAGATTATCCTGTAGTTGTCTTTCCTGATTTGGTTCTTCTTTGGTTTTGGCATCAGGCTAATACTTGCTTTTTAGAATGACTTCAGGAGTATTGCTTCCTTTCCAATTTCACTAAAGAATTTCAGCAGTAGTGGCTTTGGATGGTCTCTAAATTTCTTGTGGATTTCAACAGTGAGTGCATCAGGACCTAGGGTTTTCTTTGTTGGGAAGCTTTAAGTTATATTTTCAATTTCAATGACTGATACAGTGTTATTTAGAATTTTTATATCTTCTTAAATAAATTTGACAATACACATGTATCTTGGAATTTGTCCATGTTTTCTATATTTTCCATGCTCTGAGAATACAGGTTCTTGAAATAGATATTAATGATTTTCTGGAAGTCTATAGGGTCTAATTTGATTTTACTCTTTTCATTCCTAATTGCATGAATTTGAGTCTCCTTTTTTTTTTTCTTTTGGATTAGGTTGCCTAAGATTTTTCAATTGTATTTAGTCTTTCAAAGAACCAATTTGTCAATTCACTAATTCTTGGTATTGTTTTCTTAGTCTCAGTTATGTTAATTGTTGCTTTTATCTTTTTAATTTCTTCCCTAGTGCAGGCCTTGGGTTTGATTTGTTCTTCTTTTTCTAAAAGTTTGACATTCAACATTCAGTTGTTCCATACACTTGATCTGAGAATCCAGTACTATAAGTTTCCTCTTAGGATTATTTTCATTGGGTTCCATAAGTTCCATTAAGTTGAATTGGCATTATCATACAATTGTAGTTACTGTTTAACTTCTTTGATTTTCTCTGTGACTCATTTGTCATTCAATAGTGTTATGAAATTCTCATGGGTTTATGTGGTTTGTTTTTCCATTAATATCCATTTTCACTTTATTATGATTAGATCATATGCCTTGGATAATTTCAATTTCTCTGCATTTACTTAAGAACATTCTATGCGCTAGAATGGTTCTGTTTTGGAGAACATCCCATGCATAGCTGAGAAGAATGTATATTTTGATGTTGTATGGTGGAACAATCTGTAGACATCTGCTAAGCTCATTTGTTTACAGGTTTGATTTAGTTCTAATATTTCCTTATTGTTTTTTATGTGATAGATCCCTCTGTTTATGAACTGGGGTGTTAAGATCCCCCACTACAGTTGTTTCAGTGCTTATTTGATTTTTCATGTCCATTAACATTTGTTTTATGTAGTTGAGTCTACCAGTATTCAGTGCCTATATGTTTAAGATTTTTATCTCTTTGGAGTTTTACCCTAACAAGTATTTAGTAACCGTCTTGATCTTTTTTTTTTTTTTATCAGTCTTGAAGTTCACATTGTTTGCAAATAGAATAGCCACTCATGCTTTTTTCTGGGTTCCTATCACACGCAGTATTGTTTTCAATTGTTTAACTTTTCAGTTTATGAATTTCTGTTTGAGTTAAAATGTTGTATACAGCATACTGTTGGATCTTGTTTCTTAATCCATTCTGCTGGTCTGTTTCTTTTGATTGGTAAAATGACACTATTTTTATGACTATAACATAAATTTTGGCTTATCTCTCATTATTTTCCTGTTCTTGGTTTCTCATCTGTTTAATTTCTCTACCTGATTTGTCTTTTTTTTTTTTTAAATTTTAGTCTTATTTCTTTTAAAATATCCCAAGGTACATTTTAGAGAGCTGGTTTGGTGGTCATGAATTTCTTCAGTTCTTTCTTCTCATGGAAGTTTCTCATTTCTCTGTTGAATTTTAAAGATTGTTTTTCAGGAAATATTAGTCTGGGATGGAGGCTGTTTCTTTTAGGACTTGGAATACTGCACTCCAAATTCACTTTGATTTAGAAAGTTTATGTTGAGAAGTTTGTTGTGATTCTGATGGGCATTTTCAAAAATAGATGATTTGTTTCTTTTCTCGAACAGATTTTATTATTCTGTTGTCATGTTTAACTCCTGGAATCTTGATTATTATATGCCTTTGTATATATTTATTGTGGTCATAGCTAGAGTTCTGTATACATTTATTTGTATGTCTAATTTTTTTATCTATGTTTGGTAAGTTTTCTCTATTAGATCTATGAAGAAGTTTTTTTATGTCATTTGCATCCAATCATTTGGTACTAGACTATGATGATGTTTATGACCCATTACAATAACAGTGTTGTCATACAAGGTAGAAAAGCTGATTATAATGGGTATGACATCCTGGTTAAAGTTGTACAGGTAGCAATAATGATAGCATCAAGCACAGCCTAGCTACTGTCAAATTGTAACTATTAGCTTGATACCTTTAATCATAGGAACAAGTTGTACAGTTATATAGCAAAATCCCACATACACCAGGAAGTTATATGTATTGAGTTTCTGTGTAGTAGATTGCAAGGGAGATTTAAGAGGTAGAGGGAAAAAAAGAGGTAAATGTAAAAAAAATATATTAGAAGGAAGATTGGCAGGCAAAGTATGATTACTCAAGTTTGGGAAAACTGGAGAGGAACACAGGAGAGAAAGAATGAAAGAGAAAACAAAAAAATGAAGTAAACCAAAGAAAGAAGAGACAATGTTAATTTCCATGAAAATCTCAGAAAATCAAGACATAGTTGAGGTAAGTTATAGGGGAGATGAATAGAAGAAAACAAAAAGAACAGTAAAAACCCCAAAATGATAAAAAGACAAAAGAAAAAAAAACAAACTGAAGAAAACCCCAACCAGATATAAAAAAGAAAAGCAGTCAAACAAATAGTGAAAAAGAAAAATAGTAGAATTCCTTTGTTGTCCACCATTCTGTGGTAGTTTGCCACATTTGCACGGGGATTTGCGCTGGGTATGGGAGTACTGGTGGCCTCTGGATGTGTGGAGTGGGATTAGTCTGAGGCTGACAGTATTCTGGTTCTGCACTTTTTACCATGATTGTCCATACAGTTCTGTCCCAGTTGCTGTAGAACCTTTGGTTCTGGAAAGCCCAGGGTTGCTCCTAGACTTATGTACAGTTGGCTCCTTCCTGATCTTGCACAGATGCCTCTGTTCCACTTAACTCACTCCTCCTATACACTGGTCATTGGTCAGGAGAAGTGCGTTTGCCTGCTGCAGGCCAATGCTGCTCTTGCTTGCCTATGCCACTGGCAAAGCTGCTCTGCTAGTTTGCAGACTAGGGACACATTTCCTGTCCTTAGTATTTCGGACTAAGACTGGATTTTGGTGGCCCACAGAGCAGAATATAGGTGGTCCCAGCTCTTACTTCTCAGCAGAATTCCCCTTATTCTGCTTCCCACTTGCTGACTGTCTACTATGACTAGATGGCATAGAATTCCCCCATTACATTGCTGGACTCTGGCAGTTAAGTAACTACCAGAGACTGTTTTGCTGCTGGAGTTCACAGTGAGCCATTTGAAGTAAAGCAGTGGCCCTGGCCTCCTGCTTCTGTTCTGCCTGTCTGCGTGCTGGAGCACAGCAGCAGTTCTCCTCACTCACCAACCACTGTCTCTGCGTGGGCCCCTGGGAAATAGTGTCTTGTAATCTCACTCTTGTCTCAGACTTTCCCACATGGCTAGACTACTGGTCCCACCTACAAACTGATTTTAATTGCATAAGGTATTATAATTTTATCCATTTTACTAAGTTTTTGCATTAAAAGTAGAAAATCGATGTTATTTGGACATGTAAAGGTCATTTTCTCGAGTAAAATATGTAAAATAATAATTAATATGTTTCTGTCTTATAGTGTGTATATGTAGCTGATGAATATGGCCATATTTCTGTGCATGCCTTAACTAAGGCTACTTTTAACTTTGTAATATGACTTCAGTAATCTTAAGCATATATGCCTTAAGTAAATTTCAATAAAATGTCTAAAATATGTTAATAGTAACTATAACTCATTGAATTTCAAAAGTAGAACTACTAAATATATATTTCTGTTTTTCCTTATTAAGAGAGCAAAATCTTCAGTTGAACTGAGGAGGCAGGAGGCCATTGCACCAATGGAAATCAAGGATGATATACAAAGCAACATAAAAGTGGTGATGTTCCAGAAAGCAAAGGAGTTGGAGCACCGGCTAGCTAAGGAAAATAAAACCATGGAGGCTTCTGTCTCTGTCTCTGTGAAAGAAAGTATAGATGTCATCTTAGACACCATTCAGGAAGAATACAATTCAGTAGATCTGTCTCGCTTCCTCACTGAAGCATCAAGACAAGCAGGCATTACTTACATTGTTTATCCCAAGAAAAAGAAGACGAAATGGAAGAAAAGCCTGAAATCTGAAAAACTTACAATTGTGTGTGAAGAGTTATCTAAACCTCCAAACATGATTAAAAGGTCTGTCCAAACAGTGGTTTTTTTTAAATAGTTTAAGAAATGCATTGTGCTTTGGGCCTTAATTTTTAATTTTACCCAATGAACTTTGTCTTTTTTTTAGTGAGGAACATCTGTAGAACTAATGAATAAGTCCTTTATTTAGTTTTGGATGTTTCATAGTGTAAATATGTGACTGGCTCAAAATATAAAGTGAGGTGTCATTTAAAGATGCAAAATAAGATTCAGCAATTGGACGGATGAATGAAGTCTTTCAATGCAAAGAAAAAAATTAACTTGTGAAAGTATATTGGTACAAAAACAAACCCTTTTTGCAAATACATGCCACTTGTTCAAAAATCAAATTGCCTAAATTTACCCACTTTCAAATTAAAAATTTTTATTGAATTGCATAAAGAGTATAGGCAATCTTTTTTCCCCTTTGGGGATAAGGCCCCAACATAATTTTCTCTTTACCTAGAGATAATAGTAGTTTACATGTTTAAAAATATGGAGGTACCTAAAAATGAATAACAAGTGAAATTACATGCATGTTCATGTTTCAGTATTTAGTACATCATTTTCTCATAACAAGAATATCTATATGTTACAAATAATTTCCCAAAATGGGATTTATTTCTATTTATATATCTCTAGATGGATGGAATTTATTAAACTTAATGCTTTTTGAAAAGTAGTCACTTTCCTAATTATAAGAAACTTACATCTTTTTGAAAAGTAATCACTTTCTAGGTGATAGGAGAAAAAAATGCTTTGTTCACTTTGTTATAAAGAATTACCTGGCTGTACAGAAACGTCCGTTATATTCTGTTGTGGTTGATGACTTACGCTGTCAGAAAGACTGGAATAGCACTTCATAATTGTGAAGGATAGATTCAGACACAAGCCAAGACGAGTAGGAAACATCTCCCAGATTCCAAGCTCTTCATATATTATGGGTTTAAGATTCTCCTGCATCAAAAGTAGTATGTGGAAGCATTTTTGTTGTTGGCACATTCTTAGCAGATTTTGGGCAGATTATTCTAAATTAACAAATATTTTAGACAAGAAATATGTTTGGTTTATTAATTGATTTCAAAGTATTATGAACTTTCCCCATCTTAGTAAATGATACAGTGCCACTTAGTCTATGACCTGTGTGGCGTCTCTCTAAATACAGTGGCACTTTGGAATGATGCTTCTGAAGAGTGTTGTACTGCCTCTAGTACAATAGGCTTCACAGGAACCACAGGGTAAATCTTTGGGTGAAAGCAGTAAAACAATTGTGGTAGTATTTATTCAAGACAATACGTTAGGGCTGGGGAGTTAACTTGGAAGTCTAAGCACCTGCCTGGCAAGCACGAGGACCTGGGTTCAGTCCTTGGTACTGCATGCCATGCTGGCTCTGGAACATCAAGCACACCTGGCCAGCCACTGAAAGTGGTTGTGGTAGCATACACCTGTAATCCCAGTGCTGGGGAGATTGAGATTGGAGGATTACCATGAGTCTGAGCTGCATGGCAAGACCCTGTACCAAATAAATAAATAAATAAATAAA